AAGACAGAAACCCATCACAATTGTCGGCACTGACAAACAAAGGTGGGAGGAAAACATATTTTTTATACCCATTAGTTTCTTTTCAATTTAGTACTATGAACATAGAATCTGTTTTTTTCATTCGTTCACTTTTTAAATAAAAAATTAATACCTACAGGATCTCTTAGCAGCATGCTTTATTCCACCCATGCTCATTGGTGCTGCCCCTGTCTGCACCCCTGGGCCCTATTCAGGAAAGCAAAGCCTGATGGGAGAAGCTGGGGTGTCCCCCGCAAGACAGGGGTTGGGGGTGGGGGAAGCAGTCAGCAGAGGCTGGAAAGACCTCGAGCCCCACCCCCACAGAGCATCAGGGCCAACCTGAGCCAAGGGAACGAGGCTGTGAGGGAGAGCATGCGCCACTTCAGTGAGCAGCTGAAACGCTATGAGAACCAGTCGGCCATCATGATGAGCATCAAGAAGGAGCTCTCCAGCCTGGGCCTCCAGCTGCTGCAGAAGGACGCAGCTCCTGCCGCCGCCCCCGCCACCGGCCCTGGTAGCAAGGCTCAGGTGAGGCCTTGGTTCTGAGTATGAGGCCAGAAGGTGGGTGGGCCTGGCAGCACAGTGTGGGAGGACCTCAGCCCTGAAGGCCAGCTGGGCGGGGTTTAGGGTGTAGGACCGGGCTGAGGGCCGGCACACTGGAGAGTCTGTGGCAAGGCGGGTGGCAGAGGGTGTCTGCTGTGCCGTGAGCACAATTAGCAAGGTGAGCTGGGGACAGACATGGGGATCCAGCCAAGGGGTCTGTCCCTGAGCAGGCATCTGGCAGTGTTGTCATTCACGTTTCCAAACTAGTGGGAACAAGGCCGTGGAGATGACCCTCCCCACCTGGCCCTGGGAGACCGAGTCTGCTGCAGCAAACCACTTCGAGCCTCCCCTGCTGTCACCGCACCCCTGCCTGGGTCAGGCCTGCTCGGGGGTAGATAGGCAATGCCTCGGGGACCCCTGCAGACGAATGCCACTTCCTCGAACCCAACCTGGTCGGGGGAGAACAGCAGTGAACCTCCAGACATTCCATGTTCAAAGTCAGACCACAAAGCGAGCAGAGGTTTTGTGACCAGGCAGAGCCACCCTGGACATGTAACACACCATGCAAAGTTGACAAAGGCCCTCTCCCGGGCAAATTGCAGGAAAGGCTCACCCTCTGGGCAGATAAATTAGATAAACTGTGCAAAGGCTCCTTCCTGTGATAGACACACACCAGGGTGTGTGGCTTGGCAAATGGAGTAAGACTAGGTTTCAGCCCCATGCGTGCCCGTCGGCTAGTCTCCCACGCGCAGGACACAACCTCACCACTGTCCATAGCAGCCTTGTTTTTGGGTGAGTGGGGGATGAAGGGAGCTGGCGTTGTAGGATCCCGCTCTGGACCTGACTTCCTCACAGACATGATCTCAGTTCATCCCATAACCACCTGCGAGGACCAATGATCATCGCCCATTTGGAAGATGACAAGACCTGGAGTGAGGTCATGTAGGGAGAGGGTGTGTGCGCTGGGACCGGAACCGGGGTGCTGTGCCTGCCAAGCCCGTGCTCGTTGTCTCCACCCGTCAGCCTCCTGTGCTGACATTGTGATGATGACACCATTTGCGTCTGCGACTGGGACCGCCTAGATGCCGCTAGTGCCTTGGCCCAGAGCTGGCTTCCTGCTCCTTCCTGTGCCAGGGCCACAGGCACGAATGAACCCTGTGGAGGTCTAGATACTGTACTTGCTGTATCTCCTGGAGATTCTGCCTAACAATGGTTGATGTCACAGGCCCTGTGTTCTTGTGCCAAGCCAGCATCAGAGGCATTTAAAAGGAAATGAAAGTAACAAAATTCACAATGTGTTAGAAACTGCACACCCTAAGGGCCATGCCCTGGTGACCAAACATCCCAGTTGGCCGGGGACTGGAGTGTTTCTCAGGATGTGGGAACTTCAGTGCTAAAACTGAGAAAGTTAGGGCACAGTGGAACGAGTTGGTCACCCTGCCCAGAGGCCTGAGAACCTCTCCTCTGCCCAGAAACAAATCTCAAGCAGTGAGAGAGACAGGGATGAGAAGCCAACCTGGTGGTCAGCTATCTCCCCAGGGAGCTGACCATTATAGTCAACCCCCTTTGGGGATTATGCAGGAGTTCAGAAATAGGACAGGAATCTGACCAATTAGCCTGGCCTTCGAGCCTGCAAGGGAGCTAGAGAGCTGAGTGGGGAAACTGAGGCACACCTCAGTCATGGATGTAGCCACTACGGAAGGAAAGCTGTGCCTTCAGGAGCACCTAGGACATAGGGTCTGGAGCAACAGGACCATGTCCAGCCCCCACTTGCTGAGCTTCCATGACCTCCCTCCCCACAACATCCTTTCTAACCAGCCCCCGGGTCTGAGACTTCCCTTCTCTCCCAGGACACCGCTGGAGGGAAAGGCAGAGACAGCAACAAATATGGCAGCGTGCAGAAGAGCTTTGTAGACAGGGCCCTCCCCAAACCTCCTAAGGAGAAGCTGCTGAAGGTGGAGAAGCTGAGGAAGGAGGGCGGCCAGGGCCGATTCCTCCAGCCCACAGCCAAGCCCCGAGCCCTGGCCCAGCAGCAGGCGGTGATCCGAGGCATCACCTACTACAAGGCGAGCAGGAAGGAGGTGACCGAGGCTGGTGAGTTGGAGGGGGATTAGAACTTTGGGGAGTGGGGACTTGCTGAGGGATGGCCACACCCTAAGGGTCCCCCACAGGGACCCAGGGTCTTCGCTATAATCAGTCAGCCGCAGATTTCAGCTCCACTGGTTGACTGCGGCACCCTTTGCTCATGCACACAGTGGGATAATTACCCCTCACGGAGTTATTGGGGCTGACGTGATATAATCAACACAACGAACTGCTCAGTTCCTTTCCAGTATTCACAGCCGTCTCCACCCTCGCTGGAGTTTTCCTCCTTTATTCGAAGAGGTCCACCATGTACCTGCCGTATCTCGCAGAGATTCTGCCTAACTCGGAGCTCACAGTCTTGTGGGAAAAACCATATCCATGACCAGGCAGTTGCCACAGGTGGGGCAGGACAATGTAGGGGCCGCTGCCAGGCCAGGGTGCTGGCAAGTGACATGGGGCCTTTGGGGGACCTCATGTTTCCATGCTGGCCTTGGGATAAATGGCCTCTCCAGTACCTCCCACTTCCTATCTCCCCAAAAGAGAGCTCACAGACACCTGTAATCTCTCACAGCCCCCTGCTGGGTCACAGGAAAGGGCAACAAAGTAATTAACCAAGAAACGAGACCACAGTTCCAGTAGTATCCAGATTTCTGGGCCATCCTCACTAGTGTGGCTCCTAATTCTTCCTCTGACGCCTCCCCAGATGCCTGCTTTCCTCCCATGTCCCTGAGAGATGTCCCAAGCCTGCTCAGCACCTTTCCTGGGTCCTGCTGACCACCTCCTCCTGTGAGGCCCTCTGCCCAGCCCATGTCCAAGGAGGCCGGGAAGTGGAACTGTGAGGGACTCGTCTCCTTTAAGAGCCCCCTCAATTCTTGGTCCCAGAGCTCAGGGGCCTCTTCTCTCACCCCTGGTGCCAGCTGCTGGCCCTGAGTCCCGCCAGCTCAGCCTGACTACAGCACAAAGCCTCTGACCCCTGGCTGGGACACTGCCCAAGAACAGCTGCAGGCATCTGACTGTGCCAGCAAGGCCTGTGGGAACAAGCCCCCTGCCCTGGCAAGCTGCGCCTGAGATCCACAACCCTGACCAGAGGGTGTGCCCTCATCCCTGAGAGCCCCCAGGAGCTGCCCCACAGCGGGGCCTGGCGAAATCTTTGTGCAAAGAGGAAACCCAGCAGGGAAAGTACAGGAAGAAATCAGGTCACTGTACTGGAGTCAAGGGGCCTCGGGCCACGCCATCACAGTAACAACAGCATTCCTCTGTCCCTGGCATCATAGTGTTCTGAGTACTTTCACACAGTATCACACCTGATCCGGGTGAAGAAACAAGCTCAGAGAGGTGAAGTGATTGGTTCCATGTTTCACGGAGAGTTGGTGGGACTGGAACCCAGGTCAGCAAGCTGCAAAGCCTGCCTTAGACCCCTTCACGGCTCGGTCACTTGAACTGAGGAGTCTTTGTCCCTTGCTGTGTGGCATTGAG